TACTTTGCATATGGATATTGTCATTGCTTTCTAGAGTTATACTTTTAATGCATAAGCATAAATAAACAATTAAAAACATTCATTTAGAATGTTTTTAATGGATAGACGTAGAATAGATATGGAATCAGTACTACCCATGTGTAATACACATCCTTATTTATCCCTAAAAAATTTGGGCAGAAAAGTATGCATTATACATGGCAAAATATGGTATTCTCTGGAGCATTTGAGATCTTGTTCCCCTGCATATGAGATCAGTTTCACTCAAACTCTTAAAAAAATTCTCTACAGGTTTTGACATTTCTCATGCCAACAATCACTATGTTCCAGTGGGAAAAGAAAAACAAAAAAGAACCATGAAGGGGAATAGCTGAATATAATGACTCAACCAATTTGCCATGTGACTCTGACCATGTAATCTCTCTGGGTCTCCATGAATATGAGAATATGATGGGTAAATTGACTAGATAACCTTTAAACTTATACAAAGTCCCTCATTTTAAGCACTGCAAGAACACTTATTCTTGGTTAATTTGACTATAAATGAAGTGGTTATTTTTCATTAATTTATTCCTCCATTAAACATTTAGATTGTCTATTGCTTATCAAGCACAGTAGCTGGTACTAAACTGACAAGAATGAGTAAGACTGTACCTCTACAATCAAGGAGTTCACAGTCTAGCAAGGAAGAAAGCACCTAACTGGATAATTGTCAAATGTGTAAGTGAGAAAAAAATATTCAAGTATGTATGAGATACAAAAATAGCCTGGGGAACAACTACCTGGGAAGAGGAAGGGAAGACTTCACAAAGCAATGATGTCTGAAATTAATTTAAAAAAAAAATAGGAAGATGCTAGCCAAATAAAGAAAAATAGGAAAGTCCTAGACTGAAGAAATAGGTTTTTAAGGGTATTATAAGCAGTTCAATATACATGGAACACAAAATAGGATGGAATGGCAAGGAAATGAATATCAAGAGCTATTCATGTGTAACAGTGGAAAACTGTAACACTGGGAAATTCTACCCCACCCCACCATTCTTTCACATTGTTTCTGTAAATGCTGAGCAATATGTTACTTGTAGATAAAAAGCTTGTTTGTATAAGAATCCTAGGAACTAGGACTTCTGGCCAAGATGGAAACATAGGTGGAAACACTGTGCCTCCTCGCACAACCAAGTTTAAAGATGACAAAGTTTTAGTAACAAAAATGCAGCCAAACACAGACAATTAAACTGTACAGAATTCCAACAACCACGACCAACCATTCATCTAGATGGGTGAGAGGGGCAGAGTCAGCAGCAGAGCAGGGCGAGGCAGGAGGGGCCCAGGAGCTCAGGAGCTCAGGAGCACAGGGGGCGGTTGGCGGACCCCAGGCGTGGGGTGGCATGGGCGGACCCAGTGAGGGCGCAAGGAGGCAGGCTGACTGCCGTCACACATTCCCATGCAGATAAACCAGGCAAAGGATTGAGCAGTGAGACAGACTGCTCAGGCCAGGGCCCCAGCCACAAGAATTAAAGCCTGAAAGCACCAACTGGAAAGACTTTCAGGGTCAAGGTGCCAGGAGAAGCTCCCAGGCTTACAGAGAGTTTGTTGGAGAGACCCACAGGGTCCTAGAGGGTACACGAGCCCACACACCTGGGAACCAGAACCAGAAGAGCCCAATTTGCTTGTGGGAAGCGGCAGAGGGGACTGAAATCTGAGAGAGAGCGGAACAAGCCATTGCCCCTCTCTGACCCCGCCCCCACATACAGCATCACAAACCAGCAACCTGTAGCCTTGCCCTGGTGAACACCTAAGGCTCCACTCCTCATACATAACAGGTGCGAACAGACAGAAACATTATGGCTCAGGAACAGCTCAAAGCCCCAGAGCCAATAAATCTAAGCAACCAAGAGATAGCCAACCTTTCAGATGCACAGTTCAAAACACTGGTGATAAGGATGCTCACAGAACTGGTTGATTTTAGACACAAATTAGAGGAACAAATGAAGGCTAAACTAATTGAAATGAAGGGAAATGCACAGGGCACCAATAATGATGGAAAGGAAACTGGGACTCAAATCAAGGGAGTGGACCAGAAGGAAGAAAAACACAACCAAACAGAAAAGAATGAAGAAACAAGAATTCAAAAATATGAGAGGCTAAGGAACCTCCAGGACATCTTTAAACATTTCAACATCCAAATTATACCAGTACCAGAAGGGGAAGAGGAACAGCCATGAGTGGAAAACTTATTTGAACGAATAATAAAGGAGAACCTCCCCAATCTGGCGAAGAAAATAGACTTCCAGGAAATCCAGGAAGCTCATAGAGTCCCAAAGAAGGGGACCTAAGAAGGAACACACCAAGGCACATCATAATTACATTAGCCAAGATTAAAATGAAGGAGAGAATCCTAGAGGCAGCAAGAGATAAGGGGACAGTCACCTACAAAGGAGTTCCCGTCAGACTGTCAGCTGATTTCTCAAAAGAGACCTTACAGGCAAGAAGGGGCTGGAAAGTATTCCATGTCATAAAATCCAAAGACCTACAACCAAAATTGCTCTATCCAGCAAAGCTTTCATTTAGAATGGAAGGACAGATAAAGTGCTTCTCAGATAAGGTCAAGTTCAAGGAGTTCATCATCACCAAGCCCTTATTATATGGGGCTTATCTAAGAAAAGGGACTTATCTAAGGGACTTAGATAAGTTAAAGGGATTTATCTAAAAAAAAAAAGATAAAAAAGATGAACAGTGAAAGGACAGCAAACTCACAGTTATTAACAACCACACCTAAAACAAAAGCAAACTAAGTAGACAGCTAGATCAGGAGCGGAACCATAGAAGTGGAGATCACATGGAGGGTTAGCAACAGGGTAGTGGGAGGAGGAGAAGGAGGGAGAAGGTACAGAGAATAGGTAGCATAGATGGTGGGGGGGGCAAGAATAGTAGGGGAAATACAGAATCTAAAGAACTTGAGACACGTGGTCATAAACTAAAAGGGGGGAAAGGTGGGGGAGGGGTGTGCAGGGTAGAGGAGAATAAAAGGGGGGAAATGGGACAACTGTAATGGCATAATCAATCAAATATATTTACAAAAATAAAGAATCCTAGGAAATAACTTCAAAAGATACAGATTCTGAAATTCAGGCATCCCAGCTCCAGAAGATTTGCTGACCTTCTAAAGTGGAACCAGGATAACATGAATGCAGGATAACTGAACCAGGATGCTGCCCACCAGACCATTACTGGCCTTATCAGAATGGACTGTGTGTGTCTGCATGTAGAGAACTGTTCAATTCCTTTGTTTGATCTCTTTGTTCTGTTCCCCTCTCCCTCATTACAAAAACTTCTGCCTCCACTGAGAGGAGAAGATGGGCTTTGTGACGAGTCCCCGTTTTCCAGGTCGCTGGCACCTGAAAATAAAGGACTTTCATTTACATCAGCACCTGCCTCTCAAATACTGGCTTTCGTAGTGGTAGGCAGCAGGACCTGCGTTTACAGGACTGTAAAGGATTCACATACTATGCTCAACAGGATGAAATTTACCTTGTAAGCAGTGAGGAGCCACTGCTCAGGTTTTGAAAGGAAAGAAAATTTATCAGATTTTTTAAATGTACTAATTTTTTATATTACAGTTCACATAAGCATTTAGTATTGCCACATTGTGAAGAGCATACAAGCTACCTTTATAAAGCTAAAAAAAACTTCATTCAATTATATATTTACGCCTTTAAACATATGCCTGGTATATTATCTAACAAATAGTCAATATTTGATAAATGTTTGATGAATGAACTGTGGTGGAGAGACTGAATGTCAGTGGCATAAGAGTAATAACAAAGATATTAAAATGTAGAATGGCAAAAAAGTGAAAAAGCTAAAAAGTTTCCTTACAAGTCTCAGGGAGAAATCATCCTTTTCCACAAATTAAACAACCTGTCTCTCAAAGCCTTCTGTTCCCTTCCAACTCCCACCTCCTTGATATTCACATGACACTCCCAGCTATTACCCTAGTCCAGAGTCTTCCCTGACTCTGTCCAAGACTAAGTTTATTATCTCAAACATTATAAACACTGCCTTTGCTTCAAAAATCTCAGGAATCCTCTAGTACTCTAATTCTAAAACGCACTATTTCAACATCAAACATTTTAGGATTATCTCTATAATGCTCAATACTACCACCCCAGACCACAGTTTCATCCCTTGAAACGTACACTGCCACAGCTCCATTCTTTCATGTCACTCCTACAGATTTCATTAAAGCAAGGAGTACAAAACTTGGTATTACTTAAATTCATTCTTAATGATTGGTCACTTTTATAAGTCATATGTTTATATTTTTCTTCTTACAGAGTTAAATGATTTCACATTGCCAACAAATAAAGGTTCCTGGAAACCCATGGTAACAAACTCGACTAGCACTTTGTGTTATCTCCCTTCCTCTATTCCTGTAGAACTTGAAGCGGCAGCGAAGAAGGTTGAAAGAGCACAAGGGAGGGGTATGCCTAGCCCAGAGGCAGGGGACCTCACTTCCGATTACCATGCTACAGCAAGAAACCCAAAAGGCCCTCCGGCTCCTCCGCAATCCACAAAAAAAAAAAAAAAAGGCCAATCAGCCTCCAAGACTTCTCGGGTAGTCCGCAAGAACAGAAACAAAGAGAAACTGCTTTGAAAAGGCATTCTCTGGGTTGTTCGGAACTCACCTGTTAGTAGCGGCGTGGACGGCGCCATTTCGTCCCGGAAAGAGAAACTCAGAAGCTACGGTCACAGTTCACGAGGGCCAAACCCGGCCCCTACACGTCTACTCCGGCGTGGAGACGGCAACTTGGTATTTCCGGGGTCACCAACCTCGGGGCCAATTAACTTCCGTTTGGAGCCCGCAACAGCAAAGGATTCCCAACGCGCAAGCGCAGCTCTGGGGCCACATAACAGAATTTGGGAGGGTTGGGTTAGGGTTGGGCTAAGGCCCTTCAGCCTGCCTTAGCCCTGCCTCACTACGTGCTTCAGCAGGCGGAGCCTGCACTTCCGTGGGGCGGAGTTCGCCCAGTGCTGACGTTGGCAGCCGAACCTGAAGTAGTTCAAGCCCACGGACTGAGCGGTCCTCTTGTTGCTTTTCCTTCCTCTTTCAGTCCACGCTCCCGGCGTCAGCAGGGCGAGCCTATCCCGGCGGCCTGCTGTCCTCCCGCGCGCCCTCCACTCTGAGCTGGTCCGCCCGGAGTTCCTCAGTTGGCGGCCCACGCCCCGCTAGCGCTCAGCCCCCGCGCTCAGGCCCAGTGTCCGGAGCTAGCGCCCCACCTGAGAACCTCCTCGTTCGGGCGGCGGCGCGGGCACCGGGAGCGGAGCGTCGCAGCGGCCCCAGGGGAAGCGAGAGAATCTGAGGGGTGGCTTGGGCAGGTGGTGGCGCCGCGAAGATGGTCGCCAAGCAGAGGATCCGTATGGCTAACGAGAAGCACAGCAAGAACATCACCCAGCGCGGCAACGTCGCCAAGACTTCGGTAAGGGAAGAGCGGCGCGCCTCGGATCTGCAGCCAGAGCTGAGGCCCGAGCCTAGGGCCGCATCGAGTTCTTCCCAGACCCGGCCGACTCTGGGGGACCGAGGCCGCGATCTGGACTCACAAGTTGAGGGGCTTGGGGCGGTGGGTGCCGTAGCTGGGCGGCTTGGGAACCGAGGGGAGACTTGGCGTGGAGTGCAGGCTGTGGGAGCCCTGGGTCGGAGTGGCATTTGAAACGGTGGGTCTTCCTTTTTGCAGAGAAATGCTCCCGAAGAGAAGGCATCTGTAGGACCTTGGTTATTGGCTCTCTTCATTTTTGTTGTTTGTGGTTCTGGTAAGTGTTTGGGGGGCTACCATTGGGCTGGATGTTGGAGGACGGGTTTGGGATGACGTGGTGACCCATCAGTGGTGAATCTTAACCGCGTAGTTCTCAACCCACCTGCCGGGAGCTCCACATAATTCTATTTCATTTGAACCAATTTACGTGTCCCACATATGCACAGAGGGTGGTGCTCCAGAAACTTCTTTCAGCTTGATTTGTGCTCACAGGATATCAGAAAAGGAGGTCAGGTTCTTAGTAATGATCAAATTGGAAGTTTACACCAAAATAAAGGAAAACGTCTTCCAGAAGGAAAATACAAGGCTTTGCAATCCTACTATCAGTACCTTTGCAAAACAGAAACTTTTGAACATTATGTACATATGGATGTTCGAAATTAATTTAACATGTCTCAGAATCTGACATCTTTATGTCAAATCTGGGTGTATTTTACAGGATAAAGCTAGTGCAAAGAATTGATTCACTATAGAGAAACGTGGCAATTTAATATGTGACAAATGGTTTTAGATTAATAAAAGAAACGTTTGACATATTGTAGGAGAAATTCATTATCAGGGCAGCCTGCTGTTAGAGTAATAGATTCTTGCCCCTGCAAATAGATTACAGAATGTTTTTCCTCTCGTAATTTAAAAGCTGTTCATACTGAGGTACATATTTCCGTTTTTCACATTCTGGAGTTATAAAGTTATTTGAGGTTTCTTTTTTTCACTTTGCCAATTTCCTAAACTTACCAACTGGAAGTTTTCCTGGTAAATGGCCAAGAGCCAACCTATTTATATAACCTAAAGATTACTGAATTTCAGCTTTATGAGAATAAGGAAACATAGATGTATTATAGGCCAGGCCTTTAGAGGACACAATATTTAGGAATAAACCAAAGTAATTCTGTGCTTGAAAAACCTGTTTGTTTTGGTACTTTAAGTTCTTTTGGAAGTGATTGCTTATTTTCAAATTCTCTTGGACATTTAATATAAAACTCAGAAGCTGAGATTTTAAAAAAATAGCTTATGGACCTTTAATTGTTTTATTAAGGTAGGCCTGTCTTCATTTCTTAATGCAATGAAGTTACATAGTCTTTTCAAGTAATTGTTTAAGGGTAGTTGGGCTCAAAGTGTCTTAATAAATATCTGCCACTTGCGAGACTTATTTTATTCAAAGCATGTTTTAATATTTGTTCTTTCTCTTTACAGCAATTTTCCAGATTATTCAAAGTATCAGGATGGGCATGTGAAGTGACTGACCTTAAGATGTTTCCATTCTCCTGTGAATTTTAACTTGAACTCATTCCCAGTGTTTGATACCCCGGTTAAAAACAATTCAGTAAATCATCCTGCCTCAGAATGACTTTTCATATCATCATTCATGTGTCATTCCAAGGTTTCTTCATGAGTCATTCCAAGTTTTCTGGTCCATACCACAGTGCCTTGCAAAAGCACCACATGAATAAAGCAATAAAATTTGATTGTTAAGCTATAGTAGTGGACCCTACTTATTCAGTCATTTAAGAGTAAGTTTTTTAATGTGGTTATTAAAACGGTGTATAGCATCAATAATTAGATTAAGTCTATGTAGATGGGGTCTATTTTTTTTTTAATGCTAACGTGTAAATGAAATTAGCTTAATTTAAAATTTGGAATCTTATGGTTTTATATAGGTAGGCACTTTATTACAATACCTTGAATTGAAAGCACACTCCCAATAGGGTCATGTAACTGTCCTGTAATAAGGTGCTTGCTTATAAACGGAACAACCATACAGTTAGCCTAAAAATCCTACAATCTTCAGCACCTAGGATATTTTAAAAGCTTCTAAATGCCTAATGTAAAGGGAGATGCTTATAGCCATGGTTTATTTTAACAATATTATTTGTGTCACACTACCTTGGATTTTGCATGAGTGAATATACTAATCTAAGCTGCCATAAGAAAACTTGGTTAAGCATTTTTTAACTTAGTCATTTCAGTTTCACTAAAAGATACCATGGTGGAGTAAAGTCAGGGAAGGTTTGTTTATGTCACCATTGATTTCACTAGAATTACTTTAATGTATCAAAGGGGTCTACTATGCTAGATAAACGTTTTAGGGAAAAATACTACTAAAAATGGATGCCTCCACAGGATGTACTGTTGAGTCCAGTGTGCCATAGACAGCATGTTAAAAGTACTTTTAACATCAAAAAGGCACATCAACTAAAAAGTTATACTTAGTTGGAAATGTTTTTCTAGATTTATGATTAAAATTCCATTAGGGTTCTAGGTACATCAGACTGAAGTGTTATCTGGAATTAAATGGATTTACTGATAAGGATCTTTGGTCTTCCTTTTGTATGATTTTATAGGTTGTGATCACATTCTTTATTGGTGGTAAGGGTGAGTGAGAAGGCAGATTTGGCACGTTCTGGTTCCGATGGAAACTACAAGTATTGGCTATTTAAATACTTAGCCATAACTTAATTTAAAAAGCCTGGGAGGTGTCTATGTATTAATGAATTGGAAAGAAAGCTGCTTATTTGCTTTAATTGCCTCAGGATATTTCTTTTTAAAATAAGCTGTTTTAAGAGGAACAGAAGGGAAATCTGCTACATAGTCCATACACAGTGTAAACCTCAGAGAGCTTCTGATGCCCCAAAGTTTGGGGGAGAGAGGAAGGGGGATGGTTAAGGACTGTCAGGAATTGGCCTACCTTAGAATAGGAAAGGAATCAGCTGACCTGGGGCCAGCAGGTTTTTATCTTCATTGTTTGTTACTTGCCTTTCTCACCCAGGAAATCAACCCCTATACTTGTTTCCCTCTTTGAAACAAGTGTCTTGGTTAACTAATTCTATTTTATGGAACTTTTAAAATGAAAGTTATTCTAAATTCATAGCAGGTGCCTTATTCTTTGCTTTGAGTCAAACCATTCCATAGAATTTCCCTTGGTGTACTATAATTGACTTTAAGGTGTTGGGTTTTTTTTTAAATGTACAATGTTTTTATTAATTTGATTGTTAAATTGCTGTAGCTAGCAATCATTTTACATATGTAAAGTTGCATTCCCTTTGTATTTCATGTGTAATTTTTCAATTGAGTGCATTTTATATTAAGGATGGATTATGCATGTTTGGATCAATGAAAACTATGTCTTACTTGATTTATTTCTTAAAAATAAAGTTCCCTGAATATTTGATGCCTTCTAAAAGAAAATGATTTTACAGACTTCTTATCTGAGTATACTTTTTATAGTTAATAGTATTATGTTGTACTTGAGATAAAATAAACAGGACCCAGATGCACAGATTTAAGGTTTATAAATGGGAATGGGTAGCAAGAAAAATATGTAAAAACACAATGAATTAAATACTTCCCCACCTAGGATTTATCCTCATCTCATTTTTATCTGAGTTCAGTTCAAGGAAGAAGCACAGTTCTTTTGATCTCCCTTCCCCAGTTGAATTTTATGTCATCTATATCAAGCACAGTATGAGAATAAATGTTTTATTGCATTTGTCTACATTATCCAATTATTGTTTGTAATTTAGCTACATTTCAAAGAGTTGTCAGGGATTTCATTTATCTGTTGGGTTGTATATAATGTTGATCAGAGTAATTGAGTGGGCTTCACAACAAGTAAAAGCTTTTCATTGCAACCGGATGCATTGTAATGGGCTTTGACGTATTAAAGAGATGTGTACACTCAACTGCAGAGCCATGGCTCTTCTCCCTGAGGCTACTGGAGTTTTGTTGGTACAAAGGACTACCACGTGGCACTGGATTACATTCTCAGGAGGTTCAACAAAATTTTATTGTGCTGTAGCATCTGTAAAATTAAGATATCAAATCCAATATTTAGAAATTGTTCTGAAGTTTGATTTGGCTCTACCTACTTTTTTTCCCCCACTTCTGGACACACCACAACTTCAGAAGGTCAGAGCTGGGTTCAACAGCACAATCTGCATCACTCCTCAGAGAATCCTTCCTTGTCCAAGCGTAGTCCGAGTCTAGTCGCTTACCTTGCTTTATCCAAGTTGAATTCAGACAAGAAAGTCCTAATTCAGAAGTACTAGTATGTAATAAAAGGCTATAAATTAAGATGAAGGGAAAAGTTCAACTGTCTGCATTTCAATAATTCAAAGTAATTCTTATATATTAGCATCAAAGATGGAAAGAACATGGGAAATTTTGTCCAACTGCTTCACTTGACAAATAAAACAATTTAATGACTAGTGAGTAATTTAGGTGCTGGATATAGAGACAGAACTGTGGATAGAGTCACAGCACTCAAGTCTCTTTCAGTCCAGTAGTTAGGGAAAAGACAATGACCAGAATTGTGATAAGTATTTCAATGGAGAAAACCAGATAAATGGTGTCTCCCTTAAGAGCTAGTTGAGGTAGAACAGAAACTGGAAGCAGGTTTTCTTGACTCAGTGTACCCCGTAGAAACTTAGTGTTTGCAAAACATCTACACAGAACACTTCTGTTTTCATGAGCTCTTTGAAGAAAGTTAAAAAAAAACAAAACATTCCTTTATGGATGCAGTGTCTTGAAAATTTACTGTTGGCATTTCCAGTACAGCACAAAAATACAAAGATCAAATCACTAGTGTTATGCACTGTAACAAGACTATACTTTTTAAAAACTCTGCTTTAAAATTTTCAGTTGTGATGTTGAAAAATAATTTTTATTTGATAATTTAGTTGTCAAAAGTGCCTTCATGCCTTCCTCAGACATTTTTCATAACAAAGGTTCAGTGAGTAAATCATGTATGACTTTTCCTATGTTCGACTTTCTCCTTTACATTGCAGATAGATTTAGAATAAATCTGCAAATTTAAGTAATTAAAATTGATTTCAATGTCATCAATTGGATTATAATGGTTTTTTCTTTCCTCATTGTTACAGAGAAAATCAAACAGGAGACAGAATAATTTATTTCAGAGCTAGAAGGAACTTTAGAAGTTATTTTGATTAACCCCTCTATTTTATAATTGAAGAAATGATGGTCTAGAGAAGTTATCTTTCCCATTACCCATGAAACTGTAGCAGAGCAAGAAAACTGGTTTTGTGATGACCAAACTGGCTCCTTAGTATTTTGAGTGCCATGGAGTTATTCTGTAGGAATGTCTCCTTTTACTTTAGGAGATTATATAGTAATCTCAGGAAACCCCATGAGTGTTCCATTAGGGTAAAATCTGAAGATTTAGGGAACTTCAGTGGGTTCCCACTGCTAAGGGATTGAAATAACCCTTTAGCTTTGATTTTCGGGACACTTTACAACATGGCAACAACCTACATTTTCAGCCGTGTTCCCCACAGCGTCACCACATAGACCTGTTCCAGCCTAATGAGTCTACTTTCACTTTTCAGTTACCTTGAGCTTTCTTTAACTGTTTTCGTTCATTTCCCCTGCATTACAGTACTGCATATACTGCCAAGTCTAGCTTAAATTTCACCTCGTCTGTGAAGTTTCTCCTTGTGGGAATCAGAAACATCCTCTTTGGGAAACTATGACTCTGGACCAGTTACCATTTATTATATTGCCATGTCTATTAGCTTTATTTTTTAGTTTCTTAGCCTGAGTATGGAATCCTTAAGAACTAATGCCATATCTATTTCACTCTTTTTAAAAATCTACTCTCACCACTGCTCTGTCCCCCTGCAAGGCTAGTATGAAACTATATACATGTAGGGGAAGCTCAGCATTTTGGTTGAGTAATAAAGTGAAGGAGAATGATGAATGTCCTATTATATCAGAATAATCTTTAAGAACGTGTTCTGTAAAACCTAGTCCTGATACAACAATTATCCCAACTTCTTCCAATCCTGGCAACCTCTGCTTAATGGGCAGGCTCAGCACCAGAAGTCAGTCTGCCCTTGAAAAAAACTCCCAGGATAGGTTTGATATTTGCACATATATCAACAGTGGTATTTGTCCTTCAGTCATGTTTGAGGACTGTTCATAATAAGTGTCATTGAGAAAACGAAAAAGTGTTTTACAAAGAAAGCTGACACCTCACCACACCAGTCTGTCCGGTTATAAGGAAAGAGTCAAACAAACACACTTGTTGTTTAGAACAGGTGCTTGTGGGCTGTCAGCTGGCCTCTGTCCTCAGTCTTATTCTAGGGTGCAGGAAGGGCAAGGATGCCCCATGGCGTACCCTTCTCCACACCAGACTGTGGAACCAGAATGGCTTTGTACTCCAGATAGCAGATCTGGTCTCTGGAAGGGTTAGTGTGCTCTCCCTTAAGAAATGAATTTTCTACAGTAAATTCACACCTCATTAACTGACATTTGGGATGTGGCCTGATTATCAAACTGGCTTTCAAACACTGTGCAAAGAAGATTGCCAGGTCCTCTCTGGGAAAATGTCATCTACACAGACATGCAGAGAATGGAAAGAACAGTTAGTGCCGGAACAGTTCTTGTTCCTGGCACTCAGGAGTGCCCTTGGACCAGATTCCAAGGCTGAAATGCATCTGGGATTGAGATAGGTTAGTATT